CATAGTAGCTAATGAATGTGACTGTCGACATAGCTATAACTCCACAATAAAGACACCTATCAAAAATTGAGTTTCAGAACTTATACTAGCCAATGAATGTGATTGATGATGTAGCTATAGCTCCACATAAAGACACCTATCAAAAGACATATCAAAAATTCAGTTTCAGAATTCATAGTAGCTAATGAATGTGACTGTCGACATAGCTATAACTCCACAATAAAGACACCTATCAAAAATTGAGTTTCAGAACTTATACTAGCCAATGAATGTGATTGATGATGTAGCTATAGCTCCACATAAAGACACCTATCAACAAATGAGTTTCAGAATTCTTAGTAGCTAATGAATGTCATTGCTGGTGTAGCTATAGCTCCACATAAAGACACCTATCAACAAATGAGTTTCAGAATTCTTAGTAGCTAATGAATGTCATTGTTGGTGTAGCTATAGCTCCATATAAAGACACCTATCAAAAGACATATAAAAAATTCAGTTTCAGAATTCATAGTAGCTAATGAATGTGACTGCTGACGTAGCTATAGCTCCACATAAAGACACCTATCAACAAATGAGTTTCAGAATTCTTAGTAGCTAATGAATGTCATTGCTGGTGTAGCTATAGCTCCACATAAAGACACCTATCAAAAAACATATAAAAAATTCAGTTTCAGAATTCATAGTAGCTAATGAATGTGACTGCTGACGTAGCTATAGCTCCACATAAAGACACCTATCAACAAATGAGTTTCAGAATTCTTAGTAGCTAATGAATGTCATTGCTGGTGTAGCTATAGCTCCACATAAAGACACCTATCAAAAAACATATAAAAAATTCAGTTTCAGAATTCATAGTAGCTAATGAATGTGACTGTCGACATAGCTATAACTCCACAATAAAGACACCTATCAAAAATTGAGTTTCAGAACTTATACTAGCCAATGAATGTGATTGATGATGTAGCTATAGCTCCACATAAAGACACCTATCAAAAAACATATCAAAAATTCAGTTTCAGAATTCATAGTAGCTAATGAATGTGACTGCTGACGTAGCTATAGCTCCACATAAAGACACCTATCAACAAATGAGTTTCAGAATTCTTAGTAGCTAATGAATGTCATTGCTGGTGTAGCTATAGCTCCACATAAAGACACCTATCAACAAATGAGTTTCAGAATTCTTAGTAGCTAATGAATGTCATTGCTGGTGTAGCTATAGCTCCACATAAAGACACCTATCAAAAAACATATAAAAAATTCAGTTTCAGAATTCATAGTAGCTAATGAATGTGACTGCTGACGTAGCTATAGCTCCACATAAAGACACCTATCAAAAAACATATCAAAAATTCAGTTTCAGAATTCATAGTAGCTAATGAATGTGACTGCTGACGTAGCTATAGCTCCACATAAAGACACCTATCAAAAAACATATCAAAAATTCAGTTTCAGAATTCATAGTAGCTAATGAATGTGACTGCTGACGTAGCTATAGCTCCACATAAAGACACCTATCAAAAAACATATCAAAAATTCAGTTTCAGAATTCATAGTAGCTAATGAATGTGACTGCTGACGTAGCTATAGCTCCACATAAAGACACCTATCAAAAAACATATCAAAAATTCAGTTTCAGAATTCATAGTAGCTAATGAATGTGACTGTCGACATAGCTATAACTCCACAATAAAGACACCTATCAAAAATTGAGTTTCAGAACTCATAATAGCCAATGAACGTGATTGACGCTGTAGCTATAGCTCCACATAAAGACACATCAAAAGACATATAAAAAATTCAGTTTCAGAATCCATAGTAGCCAATGAATGTGACTAGTTATGTATCTGTATCTCCACCTAAGCTCCACATAAGCATATCTAACAAGCAGATAAAACTTATATAATAGTTACTAAATGGAATATACCATTATTTGGAAGCACCCTGTACACGAAAAGATAGCAGCAATATGACGAATCGAGCAACGAATAGACAAATCTGGCGTAGCTTCTCTGATTTCGAATTTAATCGACTTTCGCTCGATACCCTGTATCCTGCCGGGTCAGACTTTATTGAAGAACGGTCAACCGTGCTATTATCCAGTTTATCGAACCGATTTATTGGCCCCTGCTGAATGCAGTCGTGCTTCGTATCTCTAGAACGTTTCTGAAATAGTAACGGCGTAGGAAAGCTTATTCTCCGATTGAATCTTCATCAGTTTCTATGTACCTTATACGCAAATTCAACATATCTAGCGTCAGTGTGAAATGCACAATTAATAAAATTAATTTTTTATTTTATTCTGCGTTGCATGAATAGCATGTTTAATTTAGGTTTTATTAACAAGTTTAGTTTTAACATTATTTTATTTTGAAATTGGTTTAGTTAAAATTCATTAATTTAAGAATTATTTAAAAATTAGTAAAGACAAATTTATTAAGTACTTAACATTTACTGATAACGAATTTATTAAATAAAATTTACTGAAAATAAATTTATTAAATATTTAACAAATAATACGATAACATGACACACTACAATGACATAAAATAAGTAAAATTATTTTCTTAAATATATGTTAGAAAAATATTAAACACCATTTATGAATCACTAAGGATGTATAATAAAATATTTAATCTCTCTAATAAAAAGATTCCTGTATAATAAAATTTTTTATTTAATTTTTAGATCAGGTAAATAGTGAATTTGTGAAACGAGGAGATGTGAGTACCAATAAAAGCGCAAATACGAATACTTTCGGTAAGGAAAATAAATTGAGAGAAATGGAAGAATTCCGGTGTGGAGATAGCACGTCAGACTTCATCCAGTCGAAGTCGAAGTGAAACCATTACCGCGTAATTAATTTAGCAAAGAGCAATAAACTGGATATCCGCGATAATTCTGTTCAAGGAGCAAGATCCAAGCGATAATGAATCAATCACATTAAGACCCTTCGAAACTCAGCCGGAACGATTATCTCTTTGAAAGTTCGCCCGTTTTCCTGCACTTTCCTTCTCTTTGCTGCACTCCCTTGATATCCTACGGGTCCATTCCTGTAAATCTATTTCAAACTGGTCGTTTATCGTCCTCCGCATCAATCCCTTTTGAACGATGAATTCGTCTGAAACTGGGTTTCGAAATTGAAACTGTTCCGTACTATGATTGTGGCTTTGTGCGGCTACTATCTGACTGATGGAATTTGTTTAAATTAACAAACAGAATTGGACGTCCATCTAAACAATTTTCGATCGAAAGCAAACATTGCACCGACGGGGTAATCAATGGGTCAACGGTGAACGACATAGCTCGATTTTTTTAACCACCGCATATGGGCTTTGGAAAAAATTTGAAAAAATAGTTGGAAATGTTTGGGGAGAACGTGGAAGTCATTTGTTTTGTATTGGAAATTGTGTCTAGCATTGTGGATGAAGTATACTCTTGGGTACTTGTGAGTAGTTAATTTTTTTAGTAGAAAAATTTTACATTCTTTGGTACAATTTTGGTAAGTTTATAATTTTATAAATTTTTTGTTTCATACATCTCGAAACTTTTTAATCTCTCAAATATTAAAAATTTTTAAATTCATTGATTTCCAAATTTGTAAAATATTGAACTAAAACACTAAATTGTTGAATCTCCAAATTCCTACATTTCCAAATTCTTAGAACTCCAAATACCCGATCATTCGAATGCTAATTTCGTAACGATACTGAAACTCCATGGAATTAAGTAATCGTTCAATCACTGGCAGCATCTAAAATTAACGTTTCCATAGCCTGCAGAGCTTCAATTACATCTTCTTGAAATGATAGATAATTTCAGTTATATCAGATGCGTTCGAAGATCACGTGTTAGCAGCAAAAATCAAGGCTCGAAATCACTTACCTTTATCCAATCACTTTAATACGGTTTTAATGAACAAATATTATTCTTTGAGACTTACCCTTCCATACTGGTCTTGTAAAGACTGCCTTTCGTATCTACTTATTTTAATAAATCGTGTAAATTGCAAATATGTATAATGTATGCATATGCATATATGTACACATATGAACATATGTAAATACATACGTGTACAAAGCCACTAATATTTTAAAAAATGAAACAAAATAACTTTTAATAGTTGCAATTATCATTTGTTATCAAAACATAAACTGAAAATTGTAAATAATGTATTACGTATGCATATGCATATGTGTACACATATGAACATATGTGAATACATATGTGTACAAAGCGATTAATATTTTAAAAAATGAAACAAAATAACCTTTAATAGTTGCAATTATCATTTGTTATCAAACATTAACTGAAAATTGTAAATAATGTATAACGTATGCATATGCATATGTATACACATATGAACATATGTAAATACATGTGTACAAAGCCACTAATATTTTAAAAAATGAAACAAAATAACCTTTAATAGTTGCAATTATCATTTGTTATCAAAACATAAACTGAAAATTGTAAATAATGTATAACGTATGCATATGCATATGAATACACATATGAATATATGTGAATACATATGTGTACAAAGCGATTAATATTTTTGAAAATGAAACAAAATAACTGTCAGTAGTTGCAAATATCATTTGTTATCAAAACATAAACTGAAACATCTCAAATACATACTCATAACATCCTCCATATCGAAAACAAATAAAAACCATACTAATATGTAGTATTACATAGGTATTTTAAAATAAAGTAAGCTACGTATGTATTTTAAAATAAAGTAAACTACATATGTATTCTAAAATAATTAACAAGTACACACCTTCAAATTAACATTGCAATAAATAAATAGTACCCTAAATTGAAGTAATATTACAGGTACACAGATCGTGTCAATACAAAGAGACCTATCAAAGACCTTTTCGCAGTATATTCACAGCTAAATCAGAGCCAAGTTTCCACCCAAATATCTCCAGCAATTCCAAAATGCATTTCAATAATTAGAGAAGATGAGAACGCGCGTAACAGCAGCTTACCTCTTTGATCTTCTCGCGACGCTGGTTAGTCACGTCATCCAGAGGAGGATTAGGCGGTTTAATGACGTAGGGTCCAGGAACCGGGATCGGCGGGGGTCCAACCGCGGATGGTTCGGATTGTCTGTGTTTCAGGTCCACCCGATGATCTTTATCCTCGGTTTTCTGTTCATCTTGACCCGGTATCGCGTTGTTTTGCATCCACGAGGGGTTCAACTGTTCGACGCGTTCCTCGGGCGCGGAGCCTCGCTCGACGACGTTCGCCAAATCGTGACGCGTGACGAAAGTGCCAGTCAGAAGGACGATCAAGATCACGGACAATAGTCCGCTGATCGCCAACCTCTGCATCAGCCGCATTTCGTCCAGGCACTTGCTGCACTCCCACAAGCCGCCCGGAGTCGCGGATGTTGCGCTCGTATTGACGGAGCTGTGTGGATTTCGATCATACAGGATGTGTACTATTGGGGGATCGATATGCGATTGCATATCGTGTGTTCGAGGCGAGTTAACACGTTCGCTACTGTGGAGGATTTTGATGGATAGATTCTATCGTGTGGGGCTTTTGAGCGCTGCTTACAATTTGCACTGTTTAGCATTTTGAAGTACACCATTTTTGGAAGTTTTGGGAAGATATAATTTGGGAGATTTGAAAATATTTTTTTTGGAAGTTGTAATTTGGGAAGTGTATTCTTGGACTCTATGTTATAATTTATGGACTTGGTGTGCAAGTTATAAGTTACATGCTTGATATGCAAATTATAGTTTATATAGTTGGTCTGCAAGTTATGACTCACATAGTTGGTTTGCAAGTTTTAATTTATATACTTGGTCTGCAAGCTATAACTTACATAGTTGGTTTGCAAGTTTTAATTTATGTACTTAGTCTGCAAGTTATAACTTACATAGTTGATTTGCAAGTTTTAATTAATATACTTGGTCTGTAAGTTATGACTTACATAGTTGGTTTGCAAGTTATAATTTATATACTTGGTCTGCAAGTTATGACTTACATAGTTGGTTTGCAAGTTTTAATTTATATACTTGGTCTGCAAGTTATGACTTACATAGTTGGTTTGCAAGTTGTAATTTATGTACTTGGTCTGCAAGTTATGACTTACATAGTTGGTTTGCAAGTTTTAATTTGTAAATTATATACTTAGTTTGTAAGTCGTAATTTGTAAATAATAAACTTGGTCTATAAATAATAATTTCTTGTAACATGTAACTTATAACATCATCTGAATATGAGCAGCGAACGTGTTACAATAGTGTGCAATTTCAACGAAGTCTCAAATTACTTACATAGGAAGCATGTTTCTCCTTTTCAACCGAATATTAATAGATAAAAAAATATTTAATATTTGCTTCAACCTCTTGCTGTACTTTAACAAATTTAACTCGTGACGCACCCAAGCGTCATAAATCTCAAATGCAGTCTTACTCAAATTTTTAACATGTTTCATTTCAAACTTTAAATCCGAAATTTTTAAATATAGTTAGATAAATAGAACTTTATACATTACGTACATAATATTTTAATTTTCATTACTGAATGTTATAACTACGAATATTTGTGACGCACTTGACGCACCGTACAGCAAGGAGCTAACACCTAACCTACCAGCGCGAAATTCACATTTACTTTGAAATTAAAGATAAAATTGAAAAATTAATAATGAAATGATAAAACATAAAAATGCATTAATTCTTTATAATCCATTTTTACCTCGAAATAAAAAGTGAATAAAAAATGACACAATATAAAAGTATAATACACAATAAATCTCTGTAAACCCTGACTTCAAAATATAAAATAAATTTGAAAACTAAATAAATAAAAATTAGTAAGAATATATAAATAATTAAAAATTTCAAAAAAGTCACCCTAACGTTGTACCATAAAACAAATAAGAGATTTGATCGCGCCAGTAGTTTTAGCGTTAAAAAGTTGAAGCGTGAAAAATGACGGTTAAAACGGAGAAAAATGGCGTCGATGGTATCGAATGGTGGCGGGAGTAATACTTACTTGTGAGCCACCTGTTGTTGGTAATTCGAGCACTGGTCGCAGTGCTCAACGGTTGTTTTAAGTAGCCTTCAACGAGAGCCGTCGCGCGTTTTCAGCTCGTATCCCGCTGTTTCGATCTCATCGACGCAGGATCTGCTGGCCGATTACAGCCTCGAAATTGCAGACAGCTGCGGAGAGAAACGATTGATTGCGTTCAAACAACCACCACCGTAAGGAAAATGTTCTTTTTCTTGAGTTCGACTCGCTTCGATCGCACTTCCGGATATGTTCTAGTCACGAGCGCATTTCACGAATAATCGATCGTTTATCGATTGCCTTTCAAGATCAAGTTCAAGATTGACTTTCTTTTATTTGGGTTCAAGGTTAATTTTGGAGGGGGGTTGTGGAATAGGGAAGGTTTAGATTTGGTGATTTTTAGGTTGCTTTTGGGTTTTTGGAAATTCTAATTTTTGGAGTTTTTAAATTTTTTAATTTGTAATTTTGCTACTTAAAAAATTTCAAATTTTCTAAATTTTGTTAGATTTCCTAGATTTCTTAGATTCCCTAAATTCCTTAGATTTCTTAGATTCCTTAGATTCCCTAGATTCCCTCGATTCCCTAGGTTCCCTAAATTTCCTAAATTTTCAAAATTTCCTAAATTTCCTAAATATTCCAAATACTTCGAATTTTCAAAATTTCCTAAAATTCCTAAAATTCCTAAAATTCCTAAAATTCCTAAATTTCCTAAAATTCCTAAATATTCCAAATATTCCAAATATTCCAAATTTTCCAAAATTTCTAAATATCCTAAATTTCTCAAATTTCTAAAATTCCCCAATTTCCAATTCCCAACCCCCATCTCTAAATAAAAAAAAAATTCGCAATTTCCAAACTTGATTCTCCACAAACTAACACACAAAGCTATAAAAACTTAGTTAATATAAAAATGGCAATATAACGAGAGGTCACTCCAAAATTTCCAACAATCCACTCCAACAAAAGAGCCCGCACAAAAATCCGCTTTACATTGAAAAATGAAATTGCACCTCGCTGAAAAGTGATTCGCATACGAACGAGAAGAAAAGGAATCAATGGTAATCGTAAAACTACACGAGAATTTAATCGACTATCAATGAAACGCATTTTCGTGCATTCGAATATGCATTAAATGCAGACCGTGTTTTATGCACTCTGAATAGGCTCGATCCACGAACGGACCGGGGTAATTACGTTTTCAAATTAACAAATCAGGTCGATTATCAACTTAACTTTTAATTGAGAACAATAGCACGCTCGCAGTATTCACTTTGCCGCGATTCGTTCGTGTACATAACTCTTCGGTGTATTATTCGAACGATGTTTCGCCATTACGCCGATTTCAACAGGGAATCGATAGATAGAACGACAATTTTTTTTTGCGATACCAGAAACAATACCAGCTATTTCGCGGCAGGAAACGGGATATCATTAAATGTTTTCTTTCTTCCTTTTTTTTTTTTGTTATTTCTCCTGTACAATTTTCAACGTTCTTTCAATGCGTGACTATGGCGATTATTCGAAACGGATAAAATACCGATATTATGCGCTATTGCCTTTTCTTTGTTTTTAAAAACGATTTACACGCAAAGCGACTGCAAAATTCGACGCTCATGAATATTTAAAATCGAATGGTAAACGCATCGCCGGCGAAATTTATGATACTTCATTTCAATATCTAGCAACTCGCAAAAGACTATAAAACTTTAATCGAACTTCAATTTGCATCTCATAGCGGGCCGTCGTTCGTTTCAAACTAGACGATCGAAATTTTCCATGAAAAACACTCTTGTAAACGAACGAAAAGTTAAACATCGCTCAAGGTATGCAACGCGTAACATTTTCGTAACGATTATGAAAATCGCAAGATTTTCTTAAAATATGAATCGAGAATTGCTGGTTCTTTTACACAAAATGGCGTGAGAGTATCGTCAAGTGTGGTACAAGAAAAATGGCGGTAGTTGTAGTTTAAAAATATTTCCAATCAATTTCAAGAGGTTAGAAGAATTTATAAAAATTACATTCTTCAGAAAGCAAATTTCTTTATTTCACAAAGTTGGCTATAATTTGGTAAAAGTTTTGATGTACCTAAAGTGCACAGGAAATCGACGTTGCAATCGTGTTGTCGATTGACCGACGTATCTCCCCATAAGTCATGGCAATTATCCCACCCCCTACAACTTGTCTCAATCAAATTATCATAAAGCGACTTGAGAGGCACGGTACCGTTAACCACCGATGCGGAGACGATTTTTCACCGCTACCCTAATTTTCTCTCGACGTGCAAAGAACACCACCATTCCCCGGTCGTTTATTTTTCCCGACGTTGCACCGCGAATATCCCCCGATCGAGGGAGCGAAACAGAGGGTGGGAAGCGTGAATCAAAGAAGCGAGGGCAGATTGAAGATTCCAAAGTCTCTGCCGAAACGTGATCACTGCATTTTTTATCGAGCCCCAGGCATCGCGAAAGGTTTCTCCGGCCTTCTTCGCATCGAAAGTCCGCGTGCATTTTATCACCCGGTCGCTGCGGGCGTTACACCTGCAGACCGCCGATTTTCTTCCACTCTTTTTTCTTTATTATTTCCTTTTTGCCAGCGTGGATGCGCCTCGCCGCTCTTTCGAATCCTTCGGGAGGACGCTGCGAGCTACGCTCCGCCTGTAATTCTCTCCGCTCGGAGAACTTTTCGGAATTCGCGCCACTGACCGGACGAATTCTCTTTCAAATCACCGGTAAAAGTCCACTGATTCGAGATCGAGGTGTGACAACTTACGTTCGGGATGCAAATGACTGCCCTTGGCGGTCACCTGCAGGGCACTTCCAAAAATATTTCGCATTTTGTAATTTATTGAACAAGTATATAAGGGTTTTAGCAAGATGTGGTGCTGAAGTATATGGCTGCAGAAGCACTCACTTTTCTTCTTCCTTTCTAACTTTTTTCCATCATCTTATTGCTACAGTCCCATACATTGATTAATCTATCTTATTAACTGCACACAACAATTTCTTTTAAATTCAAACAAAGATGATGGTACTTAAACCCATCACTATTTCATACATCTTACCCATCACTATTTGTTCCAATCTAATTTGTTCCCATCACTACTTCATACATCTTACCCATCACTATTTGTTCCAATCAAATTTGTTCCCATCACTGCTTCATACATCTTACCCATCACTATTTGTTCCAATAATTATCAGTGAAATAAAAGAATACTATTATTTCCCAAACACTGAAATTAAAGATCGAGGACTAAAATACGAGTCCCCCATAAAGTTTTGATTCAAACTCTGCCGAATTTGTTCCCATCACTACTTCATACATCTTACCCACCATTATTTGTTCCAATCAAATTTGTTCCCATCACTGCTTCATACATCTTACCCATCACTGTTTGTTCCAATCAAATTTATTCCCATCACTACTTCATACATCTTACCCATCACGATTTGTTCCAATAATTATCAGTGAAATAAAAGAATACTATTATTTCCCAAACACTGAAATTAAACATCGAGGACTAAAATACGAATCCCCCAGAAAGTTTTGATTGAAACTCTGCCGAATCTTAGGACGTTGAGAAGTGATCAGGTTCGACGATGCACTCTGGTTTCCGGTAAAAACGACGAAACGCGCAACTAACTCCGACAGCAACTGCTAATTAGCGTGAATTACGATTCGGAGCGAGCTCCCTTCGCGTTGCTGATGAAATATCAAAGGGTGGATGCAATTTACGTTTCCCGCGTTCTTGCTCTGTGCCCTCGTTCGGTCGACGTTTCGACCGCCTTTGGGAAAACGAAGGGAACAAGGATTCCCAGCTGCACCGTCTGCTGCTCTAATTAAGGTATCGCCACGATTAAGGCTTTCTAATTGTACATCTCGATAATGCTTGTGGAAAAAGTCGAAAAGTCGAGAGGTACGTGTTGATTCGCTGATGAAGATGACAGTTTCTCTCTTGTGATGGGCCACAATTTTAACGATTTTGGGAATGTATAATAAATCATCAACGTCTGTTAACAATTCATCTTGTGTGCATAGTCGAACTGTTTCTGACATGAAGAAATCTTTTCAATATGAAGAAATGTGCATATATGTACATATTTGCAATATGAAGAAATTTCTTCAACATGAAGAAATGTGCATACATATATATATCTTCAATATGAAGAAATTTTATCAACATGAAGATATGAGCATATATGTACATATCTGCAATATGAAGAAATTTCTTCAACATGAAGAAATGTGCATGCATACACATATCTTCAATATGAAGAAATTTTGTCAACATGTAGAAATGAGCATATATGTACATATCTTCAATACGAAGAAATTTCTTCAACATAAAGAAATGTGCATGCATACACATATCTTCAATATGAAGAAATTTTGTCAACATGTAGAAATGAGCATATATGTACATGTCTGCAATAAGAAGAAATTTCTTCAACATGAAGAAATGTGCATACATATACATATCTTCAATATGAAGAAAATTTGTCAACATGAAGAAATATGCATACATATGCATATCTTCAATACGAAGAAATTTCTTCAACACGAATAAATTGCAAATCATTTGAATTTGACTGAGAACGAGGGTGAATCAGCAAATAAATTAGAGAGAATTGAGTCAATAAATTATTATTCTTCCGGCTCACTTCCATCTAATTTATGTGTTGATTCACTCCCCTCACATTCAAACAATAATTTGAAGTTTCTCCATGTTGGAGAGCAAACGATTCAGCAAACAAATTAGACAGAACTGGGTCAATAAATAATTATTATTCCCTGGGGTACATTCTGACAAACATATCTATTGATTCATACCCCTCGAAATACGAAATTTATTGTAGAGTTTTTAACGATATAGCACTATTCTTATAACGCCACATAAAAATCAAACTTTAATGTTTATAATAAAAATTATAAATCGAAGTATAGTGAAGCGTTGAAGTTATGAACGAAGTTACTAAAATATTTAGAAGAAAATTTTCTTAAGAAATTGAATAACAAGATACTGAAGAAAAGCCTTAAATGTAGAAACACGTTTATATAGCTCTTATCGACAATTAAAAAAAGCGAATCTTCGCTAAATGAAAGAGCAAATATCCGCTAAATGAGAAAGCTCTCAGGAGTATTCGTA